TTTAATTGATTTGTGTGCATTTAAATTAAACTTAATGAAACTTAAATTGACTTAGTGGCACTTTCTGACAAAACTGGCTATGACTTTATGGGCTAGCTAATTAAGTCTACGCCAACAGAAGCTGTACAATGAGCTAGAGATGGGTACGGGACTAAATATTCAATTTCAATTTTTAAGTCCCGAACCCGCAAATCCCGACGTTTTTCCAAATTGTACCGTGGGTCACGAAATCTATTACTAAGGAAAATCCACATGTTTTTAAAATTAAATTTTTTTGCTTTGCTGTTCTTTTCATCTCAATAAATCATAAAAAAGTACTTATTTCGTAAACGTTTTAAGGAAGATGTTCTGAATTCGCGGCGGTTGCGGGTTTTATCGGGAGTGTCGGGAAAGGATTTTGGTGAAATCAGTACTGTGGGTCCCGCGCCCATTTTCTGAAAGATAAACAGACTGTAGTAGACAAACAAATTGTTTATATTTGGTTGAGAGAAATAATGTATTGACGGAAATGGTGCAAAGTAAAATTAAGCTCAAAAAGTTACACTTTTTGTCAATAATTTAGTACAATTTAAAAATCTTAAATATCAACGCTCGTTAAAATGCTTTTGCAGAAAATGTGCGATTTGTGCAACACTGATAAAAAAATCAACTATATCCTCTTTGTTTCATGCTAAAACTCATATGTTTCTGCGCCAAACGATCTTTTGTTATGTGTATAAACTTAGTGAAATAATAAGAAGAATTAAAAAAAATTTGCGTATACCCATGAATTTGCCGTTAATTAGTCGTAGAAAAAATAATTTTGTCGTTCTTTAATTTTTTAGATATATGTATATATATTTTTTTAAACAACAACAATTTAATTTTACAAGTTATTATTTTTTTGTTGAATAATTTGAAGGCACTCCTGGCAGCATCTCTGCGCACTCAGCTACAACCACAACATGTAAGTGGACTTTAAATATTCTCTTTGAATCAACGCCAAATTATGCGATTGGTACATTTGTAGAGATTTGTTTTTGCTAGTTACAGAGTCGTATTTTTTGGAAAAAATTTTATTGACCTGAACTCATTCTCTATAAAAATTTCTAGGCGACATTATTCTGTCAACAAACTTTTCACAAGTTAAAGAGTGGCGTGGTTTGAAATTTTAGAGCTGAAATAACACTTGATGAAAATTTGTAGACAACACCACTCTGCGATCGATCAAACAAACTTATGTTTCGCGGGCGCCACCTTCAGAAAGCTGCACCGACTGGTCCGCGTGGCCATCACAGGAAATATGCGCACCTGTCCAACCGATGTCCTTGGTGTCATTATAGGGATTTCTCCTTTGTCTATTATGATTGAAAAAGAGGCCCTCTGGGGCACCCTACGGATGCCCAACACCATCAGTATTAAAAGTGGCAGGAGCCATTTGGAGGTTCTTAAGCCATTGCTGGATGATCCCGACTTATCATTCTACAAACCCAAGAGGTCAGAAATTCTGAAAGAACTGCTGTGAAGCGATAGAAACCACGATTGACGAAGAGTCCCAAGTATGGTATACCGACGGGTCGAAGAAGGATGACGGAAGTACTGAGACATACGAACTTGGATCAAGGTTCTAGAAAAGTCTGCCAATGGGTACATACCCAACCATATTCCAGAGTGCTGTCTCCAAGCAAAAAATATGTCCACGGACATAAAAACGGCCCAGATTTAGGAGCGCTTAAAAATAATAAGCAATCTTCTAGAGCAGCGCCGGAAAACCCGTTTCGAGCTGCGGAAAACTGACCCTGGTCTACAAAAGAGGATNTTAGGAGCGCTTAAAAATAATAAGCAATCTTCTAGAGCAGCGCCGGAAAAGGCCTACCCGTTTCGAGCTGCGGAAAACTGACCCTGGTCTACAAAAGAGGACTCAACTTCGATCCCATTCCCATACAAGGGAGCCGGAAATGGAAAAAGCGCATAAAACCGCACCAAATAGCCAGAACCAGTACCAAGTCAACCCCTGGCCAATATAGGCGAGGCAACCAGCCGAAAAAAGGGCTGAGAAAAAATAAAATTCTTGCCCTCATCACTAAACCTGCTGAAGGCCAAACTTATACAGAGGTGCTGGGAACGATACGAGGTAAGCTCCAACCTGAAAAGACGGGGGTCGCAATTCCTTCTGTATGGAAAACCCGCAACCCGCATTGTGGCGACCAATCAGCATTTAAGGAAAAGGTGTGCACTGCCATTGTCCAGCTCGGAGATGCCCATATCCTCACTAGGCGTGTACTTCTAGAAGTTCTGGGTATGAATTGCTTAACAACAGCCCCAGAGGTGGAGAAAGCTATACGCGAAGAATTAGGAGACAGGATGAATGGCCAACTTCGTGTCTCTTTCCTCGATGTAAACTCGCGAGAACAAAGAATGGTCGTGGTGGAAATCGACGAACTGCTGGGCCGACGAACTGTTGCGGACGGAAATGCCCGAGAGCGCTTTGCTTGTCGCCTTCGCGGACGAAGTGGCTGCCGTCATAACAGAAATAAATACCCAGCTGGCGCAGCTCAAGCGAACCACGTTATGCGTAGCGTCAGTGGATGGATGCGCGATCACGGTCTGCAATTGGCTTCAGCAAAAACAGAGATCGTGCTGCTCACCAAGAAACGTATTCCAACAATTATAAACATAATGGTCGGACCTCAGCTCGTGACAACTTGTAGGTCTACAAAATATATAGGGGTGAAGCTTGGCAGCAAACACACATTCCAAATACGGAGACATCAAGATATGGAGACAGAAAGTGGAAATTGTTATTATTATCATTATCAGTTTATTTTTATAAATAAAATAATACAAAAATTTGGAAACAGCCGCGAAATACGTGAATTTCATACACCGCTGCAAACGAGAAGACGGATATCTACTGAGGAAATCCGGATGAAACGCCCCTACAAGAGAGCAGCCCTGAGGCTCTAGCAGCGCTCTCCTACATCTGAAGACACGCAAAATTTCGGTGCCAGATGCGGGATTCTTGCGCGGGCGGTGGCAGTTTGGTTTTTAGCCGGATCGTGAGCTCAATTTTGGGGGAAATAAGAATTAAACATTTTGTACGCTCAAGTATGGGATATTTTATTTTATTATAATATATATTGTTTATAAATGAAGTATATTTTTATAAATCATATGTTTTGAGTCATATGTTTTTGAGAAAAACACACCGTAGTAATTTTAAAATTTCCAAACTAGATTTCTCGACTGAAAAATAAGATATTGTGCTTTTTTCACACTTCATGCCAATTAATCGTAGCGCTTTTGACAGAAGCAAGATTTTGATATGAAACAAAATGGCTTTGAAAGCTAATGTAATAGTGTAAGTTTCCCCCCTCCTCCGAACAAAATTAAAAATAACAAAAATAAAAATAAAAATAATAATCAAATTATATGTTTTATTTACACTTCTCAAAGCTTCGGCTTTTGTGGGCTAAAGTTTAGATTTTTAAAATCGTCTAAGTACATAATTAACCTGTCATTTCTAAATAAAACTCAATCTGTTTGCTTTTATTTTTATTTATTTTTTTTTCGAAAAGCTTAAGTAAGTACTTACACATTTTATTATAAATCTTTTCCTCTACATAAATAAATTACCTATATGTATGTTACAAATGTAATAACAGAGCATAACAAACAAAAAATAAATATTTTATTTAACATAAATTGTCAGATCGGTAACGAACTAATTTTTTTGGTCGTTTTTGTTATGTATTGGCCTAATAACAATTCAGTTCAACAGTTTTATTATGCCTGAGGCTATTTTTAATAACAAAATCATTGTGTTAAGCAACAAAAATTTACAAATGGTAGAAATTACAGCTGCTATTCTGGGATTTTAACCAGCAACTCCGGCGTACAAAGTCAGTCTACGCTTTGAGCAAAGTTGCCGCGTTTTCATTTTTGTTGACCCAACTACAATCGCGGGCAATGATTTTATTGCTATTTAGACTTGGTCATGTGGTTGTTGTTTTTAGCTAAGCTCTATTTTTAGAATTTTAACTTGAAGGCGTGCTCGTGCTTAAGTGCGTTTCAAGTCTGAATAGCAACAAAATCCCAGCGAACTCGATGAATAAATCTGTTGGAGAGATGTGGTGGTCTCCGAAATTGCAGCAGTAATTTCNCTCGATGAATAAATCTGTTGGAGAGATGTGGTGGTCTCCGAAATTGCAGCTATAATTTCTACCATTTTTAAATTGTTGTTGTTTTCACAACGATTTTTTAAAAAAAAGCTCACTAAAATTGTCGAATAAAGGTTTTATTTTTTAAATTTTAGTTTGAAACATATTTTCTTATTTTTTTAACGNAGTGCTCGTGCTTAAGTGCGTTTCAAGTCTGAATAGCAACAAAATCCCAGCGAACTCGATGAATAAATCTGTTGGAGAGATGTGGTGGTCTCCGAAATTGCAGCTATAATTTCTACCATTTTTAAATTGTTGTTGTTTTCACAACGATTTTTTAAAAAAAAGCTCACTAAAATTGTCGAATAAAGGTTTTATTTTTTAAATTTTAGTTTGAAACATATTTTCTTATTTTTTTAACGATTATTTTCTTTGGACAGCAGAAGTTTCGAACCACAAATCCAGCTTATGCTAAAGCTATACATATATGCATGTATGTACGTATGTACGTATGTAAATATAAAAATATATTTTTATCAAGTTCACCTTAACTTAAAACTATGGCAAGAAGATTTTGATTTAATATGAGTCNAATAACAATTCAGTTCAACAGTGCTCGTGCTTAAGTGCGTTTCAAGTCTGAATAGCAACAAAATCCCAGCGAACTCGATGAATAAATCTGTTGGAGAGATGTGGTGGTCTCCGAAATTGCAGCAGTAATTTCTACCATTTTTAAATTGTTGTTGTTTTCACAACGATTTTAAAAAAAAAAAAGCTAACTAAAATTGTCGAATAAAGGTTTTATTTTTTAAATTTTAATTTGAAACATATTTTCTTATTTTTTTAACAATTATTTTCTTTGGACAGCAGAAGTTTCGAACCACAAATCCAGCTTATGCTAAAGCTATACATATATGCATGTATGTACGTATGTACGTATGTAAATATAAAAATATATTTTTATCAAGTTCACCTTAACTTAAAACTATGGCAAGAGGATTTTGATTTAATATGAGTCGTGAGTGTTCAACGGTGATATGTGCGTGTAAGAAGTAAAGTGGTCTTATAAGTTGTGAAATATTAAAATGTTATAAAGTGCGCTCAAAATAAAAACTTTAGAAACTTCAAGCTTGAAGTTTTGTTTCAGCGAAGAAAATGGAACCGCTTTAGCCGTATTCAATAGAAAAAAGAAATGGAGAAGTTTTACTTTTTCAACTAAGAATTTAAATTGTCTTTACCAAAATCGCCAACCCTTTTTCTTCACCTCGCCTTCCGCATCCTGCTTCCGACTTGGCAAAGGTGGTGGACTTTCAGCATCGCGCGCATTGTTTGGCGCCGGCTTTGGTGGTGCTGGTGGCGCTGGCGGCGATTTAGGTCCACCTTCATCCGCATGGGGGGTTGCTGAGTGATTGTTCATTTCGGTTTCACCCTCTTTTTCCAGCTCCTCAGCATTCTCATCAGGCGGTAATTCTATGCCAATCGTAGTGCTGAGCTTAATAGACGCCTGCTTGAAAGTGTCGCTCAGCTTAATTTGCACAACATTGATGAACATGGATGTAAGTGCCAAGCCGAAGACCAAATACAGAATACTGCACATCATAAAGATCGGATGTTTGGGTACTAGATCACCAAAACCGATGGTCGACATAGAAATGAAAACAAAGTAGAATGCCTCAAAGTAACTCCACTCCTCCCACATTGAGTAAAATAGTGCACCAATCAGAATGTAACTGATCAGCAGGAAAGAAGCTACAGAAATGGGAAGATTGAATTCATCGTCCACTTCAAATGTCTCATCGAAAGGTGACGATGGCGTTTCAGGCGCTGTAGTTCTCGACTCAATATCCATTTCGCGACCGAAGTACGTGCTTGAACGTCGCGCAAATTTCATGGCATCGCGCACCGATTGATGCTTGCGTATATTGCGACAGGTGCCAGCGTAGTATAAGCGGCGTACATAGACCCATAGGAACTTCAGCGCACGCGTGAACAGTTTGCCGTAATCCGCTAAAATGAGAAGAAATAGCGGTATACCAATGATGGCGTAGACAATAGCCAAGGTACGGCCCAAATTTGTTACGGGGGCAATATGACCATAACCTGCAAGTTATAAAGAGAAAATTCTAATTAATTTATGTCATTTAGTTAGTATATATATATTTATTTATATAATATTATGCAAAAGGAATTCTTATGTACTTAGGTATAATTATATAGTATCTATACTATATTATATAAAATTACACAGAATTTTCTGTAGTTAAATTTAAATAATGATTTAACTATACTTTAAAATAGATAAGTTAACGGCCCTTAATGCATTTTTATTTACGACACGTTGTGACAAAACAAAAAAAAATAATTAAAATAAATAAAAAAGTAATAATAACATTAATTTAAGTTCAATACGCGTACAACATACCTCTATTGGTTACAATAACTTTAAGCTATAATAAACCNAAAATAAATAAAAAAGTAATAATAACATTAATTTAAGTTCAATACGCGTAAAACATACCTCTATTGGTTACAATAACTTTAAGCTATAATAAACCATTTGTTTTTGTTATTTTATGGCCTCATCACAATTATATTCAACAATTTTTAAGCTTTAGGCCGCTTTTAATGAAAAGCTTATTGTGGAAAAGCAACAATAATTAGAAAAAAATTGTAGAAGTGATAGCTATTTCCGAAATCACCACATTTCCTCATCAGACTTCTTTCAGCTTGAGGCCTCAAGCGCAATAAAAATTAACGACTATAATTTTTATAAGGCCATAAAATAACAAAAACAAATAACTTAAGGACGAGCACACCTAAAAGTTAAACATTCTAATAATAGAATTATTAACAAAAACCAACAAACCCATCAACCACATGATCAAGTTTTAATAGCACTGGAATAGCTGCGTTTGATTGTAGTTGGCTTAACGGAATCAAATAGTGGAAAAAACAACAAAAATTCACAAGGCGGACTTAGCACAGTGGTAGGCAACTGGCTTAATCAGTGGGATCGTCGGTGCGAATCCTACTGAAACAAGTCTGATGAGGAAATGTGGTAATTTCGAAGTAGATATCACTTCTACCATTTTTTCAAATTATTGTTGCTTTTTCACAGTAAGATTTTCATTAAAAACGGCCTCAAGCTCAATAAAAATTCTTGAATATAATAAACAATTTTTTGTTAAGTAAGTTGTTGGTTTTGAAACAGAACACCTAGAATGTGTCAGACGAAGGATATTGCAAATATTCACTTAAACTGAATTAAATTTTTTAAACAGGTGACACATTCTTCAAATCTTTCGATTGAAATATATACATATATATTGTAATATTTTATTAAACTCAATTTAAAAGCTGGCAACCCTCATCAAAGTATTTTCGATTCGTATTAAAGTTTTTTTCACACCTGCTTTTTCGTAGTATGTGTTTGAAATAACTAATTATATTTAAACATTTTTGAATAGGTGGCAACCCTTTAAAAAAGTATACTACATGTTGATGCAGGTCATAAGCTATATATATGCCAAATTTCATCCAAAGAAAGAGTAACAAACGTACATACTCACTCAAAAACTTTTACAGTCATAACATTAGTAGAACTTACCATTTACCTTGTCAATTAAATTTAATTTAAATTCTAAAGCTGGTGGCAACTCTCGTCAAAAATAGTTTTAAAATTAGTACAGAATTTCTTTAGCTTATCTTATTTGGTAGCCGCTAACTTGTTACTTTACTTAATTTTGGATTTTCAAACAGGGTGCTGTCCTTTTTAAAAATATTTTTGAAATAAAGCTTTCCTAAACCTCTCTTGTTTAATACCCATATTAAACTACAACTGATTAATTTAACTGGATTTACCTTTTCGAAACGTTGGCAACCCTCTTCAAAAACATTTTCAAAATAAAGCTTAATTAAACCTCTCTCGTTCGACACCCATATTAAAAGATTTAATTTCACTGATAAACTAAATTTATTTTTTAATTCTAAACTGGTGGCAACCCTCGTGACAAAATATTTTCGAAATAGATACAGCTTTCCTTCAGCCTGTCTCATTTGATACCCATATTAAAGTATTTCATTTAACTTGTTACTTAAATTGATTTTGAATTTCTAAACAGGTGGCAGCCATCTTTAAAAATATTTTTGAAATAAAGATTTTTAAAAAATCTCTTGTTCGATACCCATCTTAAACTGATTCGTTTAACTGGTTAATTGAATTGATTTTATATTTTTTAAAAGGTGGCACTGTAGTTAAAACAATAGTCATGCGAGTAGTTTTCTCATTTATGAAGTGCAAATGGATTATGGCTTTCCTCAAATTAAAACGCGTTCAAGAAAACTGAATACGGTTTTTGGGTGAACAATACTTTAGCGAATTTGCCCACCTATTCTTGTTATAACGGTCCAACAGAACAATATGCAATTTACAAAGTTCCATGACTTTTGGCCAGGAAATCGCCGTATTCCCAATTCAGCCAGCAAATTTAGTTCATCTTCAAACTTTCGCAACTTCTGTCGTGCCAGCGACTTCCAGTCGTCTTCTCTGCAAAATTTAAAATTTATTCAGTAGAAAATACAGCACTGCTCGTATGTGTTAGCTCACCTCATATTGTGACTAACTGTCCACAGGTTATCGATAAAGTCACGCTTCACCTTGCGTACTTCGCACTTGTATATATTCTCCGAAGTACCCTCGGTATAGCGAAACATTAGTCCACCAAAACCACAAAGCAGTATGAGTAGAATCAACTCTGCTATGCATTTATTACGCATAAGACGAATTTTTTTTATCTCTCCGGGATATTCGGCTTTCATGCGTCGCCATTGCTGGCGTATATCCCAGTAAAGACGACGTAGTAGCTCTTTAGAGAGCAGATTTTTGGGTAGTTCCTCCTCAGCCAGATCTTGTGGCAAGACCAACTCATCGGAAGCGAAATGCAAATCTTGATTTTTTGGTGTCTTCTGTTTTTCGGCACGTTTACTAGCGAAGAAAGCTATCAATTTGCCCATCACAATTGTCATGAGAGGAACGGCAGCTGCCGCCTTGCGTGCTTCTTCTTCAATTCTTGCGGCTTCTGCTTCCTTAGCGGCGGCTAGCATTGCGGCTTCCGCCTCAGCTTTCTCCAAACTTTGTTTTCTGCGCTTGGCAATTTCTGTCAGCGAATCCTTGCGTGGTACACTGTACCGCCTACGCACCTCGGCTACTTCGGCAGGCGGTTGTGGTTTCGGATATTCGGGCAACTTTTGCTCTGCGGGTGAGGCAGAAGTCTGTGGTTCTGGTGTTAAACTACCCGATTTACTGTTGGCCTCACTTTCCGCAAGTCGTCTGATAATTTGCGCCCGCTGTTCCGGTGTCTTTGAGCGTCGCTGTGGTCTTATGGGTGAGAGTGAGTTATTACGGCTGACGCTGCGTCGTTCCGGTGGTTGAGGCGGTGGTCCACGTACACCTGCAACATAATGCACCGGCCCTGTGACGGCCGAAACCTGACGGCGCACCGGATGTGTTTGCTTCTCCATTTTGCGCGCCTTAGCCTCTTCCATATCGTCTACTTCTGATGAAGAGAATTGCGTAGAGGACTCATCATAGCCGCTGTGACGATGACGTGGCTGCAGTACTGGCGCTTCATTACGCTGCAGGCGCAGACTATGAACCATGCGACGACGTTCCTCAGCGTCTGTTGGCAATTGTATGCGATCACTTAATTTGCGATAACTCTGTAGAAGACGTTTGCGTTCATCGCTGTCGTGCAATTGTTTGTAGTGCAAGCGGTGTTCACGTTTTTCCCGCTCAAAATGACGCTTGTCCGCTTCGAAACGCTTGCGTTCCTCCTCAAAGCGGCGCATATTTTGCTCTAATCGGCTGAGGTTTTCATCGGCGGTCGAACGCCGTTGTGGCGGTGACAAATGTCGTTGACTCGCCTTGGGGGTTGGCGCAATGGGATTTGCTGTAAGCTCGCTTTCACTAGATTCATCGTTATTCCGCGGCGAGGAGAGGCTACGATGTTTGACGGTACGAATGAGTTCATCGGCTTCTGGGCTGGTGAGGCGTTCAGCTTCACGTGGCTGTGAAAGACTACGTGCCGCCGAGGTGGCAAATGTCTTGTCGCGGCGTCGTAAGATTTTGCTTTCGTGTGCAGACATGATGCCGGGAGGACGGATTTGCATGCGTACAGTTTGCACGCCGGCAGCTTCTTCAGAAGCTGTGGTACCGTCAATTGGACTGCTTTCATCCTCTGAGTAGCGACGTCGGCCATTCGGTTTTGCCGTTGGGTCGGGCGTCTTCTCACGATGCGGTCGATTCAGCTTTCGATGACGGCGGCGAACGCTGACACCCTCTGGCTGCACCGGCTGATCCATGATTTAGCGTCAAAAAGATTCGTTAAGGGTTTTAAAGGAAATTGATTAACCTAATATTGTTTTAGTTTACTCTTATTTTTTTTTTAGTTTTAAATATTGTTTTAGTTTACTTTTAATTTTTTTTTTAAATTTTGCAATTTACTTTTTCCGTTTTTACGTGCGATATTTTGTTTGACTTCAATTAATAATGTTTTCAATTTAAATTTATTTAATTTCAACACTTTGTTTTAAGCTATTTTTCTTTTCATCGCTGCTGCTTTCACTATCAATTGCCGGTTGGCATACAAATTACTAAAATAAGTTTTAATATTTTTATATTTCTGCTTTCACTACTTTCTCGCTTTCGGTCTTCGTTTTGCAAAATTTTGTTGCATGTTTTAGTGTTTGGTACATATGTACTTATAATTTAAAAATTTCTTGTCGCACTCTTCAAATGCGTCTATTTTTAATTGCACCCATAAAATTTCGACATCCTTTTCATTTTCTTTTATGTTTTTAAATTCTCAATACATTTTCACAGCCAGCCACTGAAATCCATCGTTTTTCTACACCACTGCTCTCAATGCTAAATTCTATAATTATAACTCGACCATTTTTGACACCGAAAGTTTTTGGAATCTGCTTATATGCACGAAATTTTTCCACAAATTTTTACACAATAACTTTCGCAGCTCCAGTATACCGCAAAACGCATACACGCCTTTTGAATACTTTGATTTAGATTTTGCAAAAATTATTGCAAAATACAAACAAAGTATTTGCATTATATTATNCATTTTCTTTTATGTTTTTAAATTCTCAATACATTTTCACAGCCAGCCACCGAAATCCATCGTTTTTCTACACCAATGCTCTCAATGCTAAATTCTATAATTATAACTCGACCATTTTTGACACCGAAAGTTTTTGGAATCTGCTTATAAGTATGCACGAAATTTTTTCACAAATTTTTACACAATAACTTTCGCAGCTCCAGTATACCGCAAAACTCATACACGTCTTTTGCATACTTTGATTTAGATTTTGCATTATATTAAACTTAATAAGCATATATATGTAAATATGTAATTATTTCAATATTAAGTATTTGTTCAAATAATTTTTAGCCACCGATTCGTTTGCCCGAAGTGTGCTCTTCGTCGTCTGAAAAAATACTGATTTTCAGTTGCCTTTGCTATGTTGGCGAACTGGCTTTGGGGAAATGGAAAATTACCCGAACTCTCTCTGCTTCTGTTTTGGTCTTTTGTCATACGTCATGATCAGCTGTTAAATATGGTTTTAATTTGACTTGCACTCTCAGTTTATCTTATGATGGATGCTTTTTTCATTCAAAAAGAAGAAATAAACACATTGGATAATGTGTATATTTTACTCTTGCCACATTGCATCCAATTGTTTGCCATTGTTTGTATAAATAGTAGATGCGGGTAATTGGCTGATACTTATGGGTAGTGTGAAACTCATTAACCATTTGCGCCATTTAGTCATATTTTGAGATATATATTTTGATATCTAATTGTGTAATTTTTTTTTGTGGCAGAAACACCTGCCACTTTGAATTTTCTTCCGGTTATAGCAAAACAAGAAGAAACATATGAATGTATGTATACATACTTGTGGAAATCGTATCTGCGCACGTATGCACCTCGCGCAGAAATCAAATATGTACAGAGATATGTATCATTGAGATTTCATATTCATTTCATTTCATTTCATTTCATTTATTATAAGACGAGATATTTACGGGTTTGCGTTTTAATTAATTTAAAAATATTGACAAACGTTAATTAATGCCGCCCGCATGTTTTTAACATTATAAGGCCTGTTTATCAAGTTTGTTTTAAAATGTATCTGCCCGTTTAAAACAAATTTTGTTCTGAAAAAATGTGTTTAAAGAGCAGGTGAATTTTAAAAACCTACATAAGAAAACGGCACTAAACCTATTAAATTTTTCTGTGCAATAATACTTATTAAAAATTTGAAAGGAAACCAATTTTTTTAGCTCTCAATGCACTTACACCAGTTTTAAAAATAGCATATTATAATTAATCAAGACAAAAGGAAAGTCTGAATTACTGTAGACATTAGCTTTAACGAAATGGATTTTCAATGTACAATAAAATAATAGATATATGGATTCACGAATAAAAAGGATACGAAAATAAGAAAAAAAATCCGCAGCTGTGCTTTAAATGATGTTGTTGTAGTTTATCGTACAACAAAAAAAAACATTAACAACTTCTAAACTTTGTGAAAAACTTAGGAAAATTCAATAAATTTGCATACAAATTCACAACATTTCTCTATAAGGATTTTGAGTGTGTTGTTTTGTAGTCCATTAATTTTAGTACAATAAAAGACAAGTTTCAAGTTGCTGAAAATAGCGTTGATTTTAGAAAATTTTTTACTGACACCATATAAAAGAAATGGTGAAAGTTCTCAGAACCTTTCGGCTTAAATTCAGAATCTATTGCGAGATTCGTACATACATGGCGTATCAGTAACATTCTGTAGTGCTCATGTTTCACAACCTATTTATTAATCCATCGAAATTTGTGGCAAAAGAACGGGCTTTAGTAGAAATAAAAAACTTTAAAAATTTTGATTTTTAGAGGATTTCAAACTGCACTGAAATGCTTTTAAACTGATAAAAAATATATAATTCGCCCCTCCCAAAACCATTTTAATCGTTATTTTACATACAATAATTTTAAGCTTAAGATTACACGACTTGTGAATCGCCTAAATACAGATCGGTAGTTTACCTAAATTAAGTTTGTGTGCATCGGCGAGTTTTGTGTCAAGTTAGCGTCCTACAGTCTAATAAAAAACTGAAAATTCACTTTGAGGCTCTAAAACTTCAACACTAAATATCTCAAAATTTTTAAGTGATACGGCTTGTCTGAAAACGGTTACGTAATCTACAGCCCAAATTAAAGCTTACGTATTCGACCGTTTAGCTGTGATATTTCGAATCTTTAAAATTTGCCGACGTTGTTTATGTGTGTGGACTTATTATTTTAGCTAAGTTTCTTTTGATGACTTGATCAAAAAGTAGATATCCGTGTCTTATTGACAAGCCCAACTCCTTTTTTTAACAAAAAAAAAGCGGCTCATATGTTTGCACAAATACTCCACATGTTTTCTGTATGCAAGTATGTTGGAGGCGCGCGCACAAACCACTGCTCGCTCAAAATTACCCTACTGAAAATCTGACTAGCTCAGAACTAGCGTAGAACTAGACTCTGTGCCGATAATACTATTTCTAGTTCAATACCCAAGCAATGCTTTCAACTGTCCAGTTTTACACGGCGATGCCATTGGCGGTGGCAATTGTCGCCCAGTGCATTACTTTGCAACTAATTCTTAAACGGTTCCATTTTGGACATTTTTTTTAAGTTTCAATTTTTGAATATTTTTTTAGTTTTTTCTTTTATTTTACAGGTTCCATTTTTGTTACATATTTTATTTNGCATTTGCACATTTACATCGCAAGTTTCAACTGACCCCGCTCTGCATCCGTTTTGCACTAGTTCTAACTAGACTGTCCCTAAATTTTACTACGGGGTATGTACATATGTATGTATTTTCATACTAAAAATATTTTTGAGCTTTTGCATTATTTCCGTTCATCACTCTGTGAAAGCTTTTGTCATTTGGGTTCTAAGATTGACTATTAAAAAGGCAAAAAGCGTGTCAAGCATTTTGGCAAAAGTATTGGATGTGAGAAAATATTTGTATTCGATAACAATGACGAAAATACTTGTGCGTAAATTTCTCCCTAAGCAAAATCGTACAGGAACTTTTTTGATGCAACCAGCGTTGTCGAATTGACGATTTCGTCGTCATTTTAACGTTTTTAGCTCAATGACGTTTTGACGATTTTTCCCCCGTAATCACGATTTTTTATTTTAGTTTTTCCTCTAAATTACATATGTATTTATGTAAAAATATTGTTACAGGAAAGCGTAATCCAAAATACAACCATGTATTTATCTAGTTTTGTTCTACAACCGTGCTTTTAGTTATATTAAATTTGTTCTAGAATTGTAACCAAACCGTTAATTTTCACTGCTGACCTGATTTGAAAGAAACCGAAAAGTTGGAGGGAATTTGTTCAGTTCAAAATTATCTACTCAGTTAATAACGTGGGTCTTCACAACCATTTTGGTAGTTTTGGTAAATTGCTGGTTGCCACTCGGTAATTTTATCAACTGTGAACGTCCTTTTCAGGTTTCTTCTTGTTAGTCTGGTAAACTATGTTTATCAACTGCGGATTCATAGCTTTTTTCCTAAAAAAAAAGTAAATTGTAACAGAAAATTTATAGAATTTTACTTACTTATGCGTTATGCGTTTCGGCAGCTTGCAGATTTGAAATTGAATAAATATCGAACGGCTGATTCCAGCTTACCAACTACCAGAAAAATTGTCAATCTGCCTTCACGATAATTCGGTAAGCGGTAAACCGATGATAAAATAATTTTACACAAACAAAATACATTGGGAGTACCAAGCTCGGTGTGAAGACGCCTACTTTAAAACTGGATCAAAATCTTCAAAAACTTCAAACCAGTGGAGTTCAACTATTTAAAAGCAGTTGCGTTTTAAATTGTAATTTTAAATTGTCGTTAGCAATTGCCAATCCAATTTTATTAACCCATATGCAATGTGGGTTCCATTTGGTTTTGTAATGTGGGGCCATATTTTGGCCGTATGCATAAAACATAAGCAAATGCTTTTTCTTAAAATTTTAGGCCTTTTACTCAATTTGTTCAAATAGATTAAAGTTAAAGGTATGCAATTTTAGAAAACGCAATTGCTTGGATTTTTTACACATACGACTCATTGTAGTTATGTAGTTCCTTTGTATTTTTTATTTTGTTAAAAAAATCCAATCCGAAATTACGATTTTTAGGGTAAAGTGATGATTTTCCAGCGAAAGCTTTCGGCAACGCTGGATGCAACCTTTAAGGCGGTTTCACCGTGTTGCCGTTTCAGC